CTATTACATTTAATCAAGCCATTAGGGTTGTTAATGGAGTAGCATACTCCGAAACAGCTCCGGAGTGAACCCAACCCAAGTTGGAGTGGGTTAAAGTTATGACTAAAAATCTGGAGTGAACCGGAACAACTACTAAGCAAGTCTGGAGTGGTTCCGGAGTGAACCCAACCCAACCCAAGTTGGAGTAGGTTGAGGACTAGTTCAACCCAACCCAACTCATTAACAACCCTAACTGCCATACACACGTGATCCGTAATTTCACGATAAACGATATCGATGCGACCCAAAAAGGAAGGTAGCCAATCGGAGTGCGTAAATTTTTTGATCTCGAATCAGCCCAGCACGTGTGCAAAAACGAAGAAAAAACACAAAAAAAGCAAAATACTCGAAAACTAATTAATTAAAAATGACGGGGAAGGAATTTTACCTATAAAAACCTTCTAACCCTAATCCTAACTAATTTTAACTAAAACTTAATAAATTTTTATTTTTATAATGTCCATTTTTTGGGTCTGTATCATTCGCATAAATAAGTATTTCGCTCTAGAGCCAAATCTAAACGTCTCTTCCGATAAGGTTGTCTTAGTTGGTTATTTTGGTTGAACCTGGAGACTACAATTTTAGGTTCACAATATATACCATATATTGAAATTGAATAAAATCCTACTAGCCATCTTAAAAAATAAATACAATAACAAATTTATATAAAAAAGTACGCAAAAAATCCTAAACCATGCAAATGTATAGCAAGACATTTTTTTTAAACCCAATTTTACGGGTCTCTGATGCTAAAGAAGTTTAAAAAGTCGGTGATGTCACGTGAGTTTAATATGGTATCCGTGTAATAGAAAGTGGAATATAATAGACGAATACGTAGTATTAAAGTATTAAAAGTATTTGTTCGTGTCATATTCTCAGCCCAGCCACTAGTAAGGCGATATTACGTAGCTTATAGGGGCTAATTTGTTAAATGACATTTAATCATTTTAGTTTGATCTTACAATACCTAAGAATTCTATTGTTTAAAATTCGGTAATTTTCATGGTTACAGGTCACTTTATGAGGATATTATTTTGAGGATACGGCATTCGGAGATACGTACTGTACATACGTATAATGAAGAACACAAACCACGTTAATAAATCATGATGACAGAATTTAGAATTGGAGGTATGGATTTAGGAATTAGTGCTACATGGTCTAAAGAATCTTGTTCTCCCGACCTGTCTTATTATTTGTGCCACGAATGTGCCGCAATAACTATTTTCTAAAAATGTCGTATCATTTATATTTCATATAACCATTGCTGTATCTGTAAGACACACAATTTCTACTTTCATATCATTTAAATTTGTAACCAAACTTTGGGGGTTCGTGTGACCTTTAACTGATAAAAGATAGTAGTTGAGACGACAGACAAACTGTTTAAACCGAGGATTTCATTAATTTTGCCGATTAGAACAAATAACGGTTAACTTCTATTTCTCAAATCGATATGTTCATTCAACCTCAACAAGGTCAAATAATAGACAAGTTGCAGCAGGTCAGTATCACATCATGCGTTAAATTCAAAGTTGGCCAGGGAACTGTTATCGTCGCAAAAGTTATATTAATAACTTTAACGAAAAGTTCCACAAAGCCCAAAACCATTTCGATATGTCAAATGATATTTAATTTTGTTTCTCAAAATTGAAATTATCAACCAATTTTATTATAATAGAACCTTGTTGAAAGGAGAAGGTCAAAACGAAAACCATTTGGAAATGAAAAGGACAGACAAAAAACGGAGTTTGAGTATTCGAGGGTGAGTTAAAACCACCAATTTATATAAATTACATTTGTATTATTTTAGATGAGAAAATGCAGGCATTTTTCTATTTTAAAAAATGCAAGCATTTCATGCCCTGCATTGTATATCGATATTAAAAAAAAATGCCGCTCATATACAAAAACGAATCACGTGAATTCAGACCATGACAGAACGGCCAAATTGATGTATTATGTCACATGTGGAAATGTCAAATACAACTTTTTTAGCTTTTAACGTTAACGTTAATACTTTTCACAATATAAAAGTTTGGTCAGAGTTCACGTGATTCCAGTTCATAGATAACTTTAATAATACAATATTTATCGTTATGCTCTTGATGTATTGCTTATTAACAGAATGAATTGAAGATCCTCTTGGCACAATTTGGGACAAAAACAAAGGTAGCAGAAGATCTAGAAAAGGATGTTATAAAACTTCAAGAAGATATCGAACGTTTGTTGGCAAAAGTGACGAAAAAAAGAAAAGTTAAAGTATGTTCTTTTGAAATATTTAATATCATTCCGTATCGAATTTATCAATTGATCGACTATTTGTTTTGCTCAGACAATTCAAATTACACCACCACAATCACCAACAACATTAAGACCAAGATCCACGGACTTTCTGTTAAATATAATTAAGAAACTCCTATCATACATTTTGATTCCTCTTTATATGGCATTAGCTATACCTAAAAAACTATATCGTAATATAAATTGTACAGTCATTTTAATTCTAATACTATTAATAGAATGTTTTGTTCTTTTGTTTATTTGGGCGTAAGTAGCAATGTTGATTTATCTATTTTTCTTTATGATTTAAACATTTATTAATTATACTTTTTTAAATTAACAGCGCCAAAAGATCGTTTCATGGTTACTCTTACGTTGATTCGTACGAGACGGCAATACATGGAACTTTTGGAGTAGACCAAACTACATCTTTTGGAGTAATGAATTCAATACAGGACTTTTTTGCTGAAATACTGATTGGAAATCGTAGGTTCGGTGTTTCGAATTATGAAGGGCTCGTGCCAGTGTAACAAATATTCTATGCTTAGTATTTTTTTTTTTTTAATTATGAAAAAGAAAACATTTTTTGTGGTTTCAATTTTGATTCCTTTTCCATCTTTCAATTTCATACATTTTCACTGTACAGTACGCATTACAACTAATTTAATGCATAATCTATTTTATCAAAATCATCTTTAAATAATTCCCTCCTCTCGTATACAGTTGAATAGTAATTTTTAACATTAGTGCTGGCTCACAATTTAAATCACTCCTTTCTTTATATTTGAATCGTAATTTTAATATGTGCTGGACACAAGTGCTGGCTCACAATTTAAATCACTCCTTTCTTCATATTTTGAATCGTAATTTTAACATGTGCTGGACACAAGTGCTGGTCACTATTGTGCAGGTTCACAATTT